TAGACACGGTGACCATGAAGAGATCCGTGTTCTCCTGGGAGCCTGGACGGCCTCTTGTTCCTTGGGACATGAAAGGCATGAAGTAGAAGAGAGGCAAAAGGAGGAGTCTGCTCATAACCAGTGATCATAAACTACTCAAGGTTTCTGTTACCTGGTGGGCCATCCTTCCCATGCTATAGGAGTTAAGGAGGAAGGATTTATGCAGAGGTTTTTCTGGGGAGTGAGCTGGGCTGTGAACCTCATTCAAGGTGGAGATGTGGACGGTGCTGCCCCTTCCATCCAGGTCTAGTGAGGGTGGGGTGTCCATAGCACCCTTGGAAGGCTCACTCTGTGCTACTGTAGCCATGAGGACATGTTGCCTTGAGTTGACACACTCAGAGGAATCCAAGGGCCAGAGGCCATGTCTCTCTCAGGCCTAAGGCATCAGGACAGGAACGAGAGAGCAAGCTACTGCCAGGCTGATAAGAAACACAAACTCCACTTTGACAGTGAGTCGATGCTGCATGCCTGCTCGGGACCCTCTGAGGGACCTGCACTAGGAATATCGGTGAGGAGCCACGAACAGGGATCCTGCACAAGACCACCTCCTGTGGAAGGAGAGAACCAGCCAGCATGGAAAGTGAGGGTCACCGGGAGCAGCCCACTGAAATCAAGGCATGGCCTGTGGCAAAGTGAGTGGTGGCTGAAGGATATGAGGGATCCTGCAAAGAACCCAGAAAGATCGCCAGGAGGGGGAGCTTTAAATGTCAGGTCCAGCTTGCTTGGAGCCGGGCTTACAACCTGCTCTGCTGTGCTGAGTTTCCCACTCCCAGATGGGGGACCCAAACCCAAGAAGGAAGGAAAGGAGGGAGACGGACCACCTTCTATTTTTGGAAGGAAGGTGACCCTCTACCGGGCCCAGTGAGGAGCAGGGTAGGAGTGTAATCTTGCAATGAATGTTGAAGCGCTGATGAATATACTTAAGTGGCCATTCTGATTTCTGAATTGAGATGGTGTTCTGGATTTCAAATGTGCTGAGAACATCCTGGGGACTGCTGATGTTTTCATCCAGTGGAAGGGGACTGTGAGCAACACAAATAAGTAGGTGTTTTAATTACATCTTGGGAGTTCTGCTAGTTGAATGTCACATTTGCATCAAGGTCTCGTTGACCTCTGGGAGGATATGATGTGTTTTCCCCTCCTTCAGTTGATCAGTGGAAGCTGAGCTGGCATCGGGCTGTGTGTCCTTGCATTGTTCTGGACACCTGTGGCAGGACAGGGTTGTGTAAGGCTGGGGTGGGGGGGAGGGCAGGGCACACAGGCTTTGCATGCCCACCCTGGTTATGAGCAGACTCCTCCTTTTGCCTCTCTTCTACTTCCTTCCCTGGGAAGGGAGGATGGGCAGCTCCTGGGGATGGTGTCAGGGCGGGTGCTGGGGGCAGGGCCGAGAGGGTCGAGGGCAGGGGGCGGCACTGGGAAGGCTGGGTGCTGGGCAGGGGGCAGGTCCTGTAGGAGCTCTGGCGAGGGCCCTGGACAAGGCTGGAGGCTTTTCAGGATCCTTTCTCCCCTTCCCTCCATATAGGAGGTCGCCCTGCCCTGCCTCCCTGTCCCCCACCCCAGTGTTCCTGCAGGACAGTGGGAGCTCGGCGGTCACTGTGCTCTGCTCCACTGCTGCTCCCTTCGCTGGGGCTGGAGGAGGGCCGGTGTGTGTAGGGAAACCCGCCGGAGTTCACTTGGAGCAGCACGGCCAGTGGCCGCCGGTGCCTTCTGTCGCTCTGACCTACACTCCTGCTCTAGGCTTTGAGCCGCTCCCCTTTCTGTTCTAGGCCCCATACACTTAACAACCTAGTCTCTGCAAAGCTCCCAGGGAGACAATTTTAAAATATAAAAAAGGTGTTAATCCCCCATTTAAAATCCTCCTGTTGGGGATCACTGGGTGGCTCAGCGGTTTGGTGCCTGCCTTTGGCCCAGGGCCTGATCCTGGAGACCAGGGATCAAGTCCTGCGTCTGGCTCCCTGCATGGAGCCTGCTTCTTCCTCTGCCTGTGTCTCTGCCTCTCTCTGTCTAAAATAACTGTCTGTCTATCTATCTATCTATCTTAAAAAAAATCCTCCTATTGTGCTCAGAGTAAAATACAAGTTTCTAAATAGGGCCAGAAAGTACCTCTGGGCCCTGACTTCTGCCGCCTTCTTTTCAGAATCCTCCTGTTGCTGTTTTGTCACCCCTCGCTGGCCACACGGCTTCCTGCAGGCGGCTGGGCTGCAGGGAGCTCTCCATGCTCCTTCTTGCTCTGGGGAACATGCTTCAACCCGTTCTTTACCTGGCTCACCCTGGCTTAGCTTTCGGTCTTGGCTTAAGCATCATTTTCTCAGAAAGGTCTGGACCTCCCATTCTTAAGATTATTTACCACTGTGTTATGTATTTCTTGTGTTCAACTTCTCTCTCTTGCCTGTACTGGAAGCTCCATCAGTGTTAGGGGTGGCACTCTGGCTTGCCACCTACATTCTCTGAGCCTGGCACAGTGCCTGCTCAAAATCTGGTGGGCGCTCAAAGTAGTGTGTTGACCATAGGGGTAACCTGCCTGCTGCGTCGTCTCAGGCACGCTCTGGCCAGCAAGTGAGGAGCCTGGAGGGCCTGAGCACAATCTTGTCTGGATGCCTCCACTTTCAGACCCCAAGAGCTGATGCTTCTGAGAGCAGAGTCACCCTTGAACAAAGAAAGGCCTGTGTTGGAGACCCAAATACATTCTGGTGATTGTGAGTTATTTAGACTCCCTTTTACAGCATCAAAATTAGGCTAAAATAGGTTTGTTCTGCTGATTAAATGGGAGGAAGGACATCTGTAAAGTGTGCGAGACCCTGTCCTGGGTCCTTTATATATTAGCACGTTCAGTGGGAACAAGTTTTGGGAGCCACCATGATTGGAGCAGCTCTCAGTCAGTAAGGTTTGAGTTATTTGATGGCATTTAGCTCCCAGCAAGTGAGGGAGAACACTGATGGAACACTGGGTTGATCTGCAGACGAGCAGATGAGAAGAAACAACGGGCTGTCCCTTTGTTTCCTCTGGCACTGCTGAGCACTTTCTGGGCCATCTCATTCCCCCACGAGCCCATGGAGTCGGTTGTCACTGTTCTGCTTTACCACGAGGAAACAGACTCAGCTGGTTAAGTAAACTGTCAGAAGTTACACAACAGAATGAACTGCACTTTATGGGGCACCCCATGCCTGTTATGGGCTGAATACTGTCTTCCCAGATTTATGTTGACGCCCTAACTTCCCAGTACCTTAGACGGTGATGATCTTTGAGATAAGGTCTTTTTTTTATTTTTATTTTTTTATTTTTATGATAGTCACACACACAGAGAGAGAGAGGCTGGGACATAGGCAGAGGGAGAAGCAGACTCCATGCACCGGGAGCCCGAAGTGGGATTCGATCCCGGGTCTCCAGGATCGCGCCCTGGGCCAAAGGCAGGCGCCAAACCGCTGCGCCACCCAGGGATCCCCGAGATAAGGTCTTAATTAAAGGGGTGATTAAGTTAGATAAGGTGCTGAGAGCAGGGCCTAATCCAGTATGGCCTGTGTCCTTATATGACGGGGAGCGACACCTGGCCACTACTGCCAGCACTGCCTCCGCTTCCTGGAATCCGGATTCTTTCCCTGGTGTTTGATGGGTACCAGTGAAGATGCAGATGTGTTGTGTGAGGGTGAGGATATGCAAGGATGACTGTCAACACCCCTCCTAGAGCTCAGGATCTAATGGGAGGACAAACATCAGTTCCTGTGCTTTTGATAGAAGTAATGAGTGTTCCAGAAGAGGAAGAGTCTGGATAAGCCTGCTTGAGTTGCTGGGATCTGAACTGGGCTGTGTGAAAGGAGCAAGGCTTTGGTCTGCAGGAACTGGTGGTGGCAGGAACTGGTGGTGATGGTTTGTTGCCGGTTTTTCTCTTTTCTGGACATGATTCTCCACTGGACTGTTATGATGGCAATGCTGGCAACCCAAATCCATGGCAGGGGTTCAGTCATCCAGTGGACTTCTATGTGGCTTCCGGCAAAATACTGCCTGCAAAACCCCCTGGCCACACAGAAAGCGGAGGCTGGCCCCATCTTTTCAGGCCTTGAGGGAGCACAGGACTCCTCCACATCTCAGTTCTACACTAGTGAGAAGATCAGTGAAGAGCCTGTGTTGACAAGACACTTGTCAGAACTGGGGGACTGTGACCCCCTTTCTTGAGTGGAGGTTTGACAGAAACTGATGAGGTCACAAACCCATTCTTTCTTGTCCTCGGAGCATGGGGTTGACTCTACTGTCCTCCAGGTTTCTCTGGAGACTGGCGCAGCAGGTAGGGGAGGCCATGTGCCTGAGTCCTGGCCAATGACACGTGACAAAAGTAATGTGTGCTGCCTTTCTGCGCACTTCCCATGCACGGTCCTCCGTTTTTTTTCCCCATCTTGCAATGGCCTTGAACAGGGTGAGGCTAAAAGGAAGAGAGGCAAACCATGCCCAGAGGCTGCTACCTTCCACCGCTCCTTCCATGGCCTGGGGTTTCGAGCCACCTCCACTTCTAGCTAGTAATATCAGACAGAGCTCCGGTGCCAACGGGACGATGGGGGAGAGAGCTGAATCACTGTCACACCCCGACTCCAAGCCCTGACGTTAGCCTAGTTTGAACTCCTGGGGCAGGAACACAGAGGGGTAATAACACAGAACTGTTCTCTAACGGGCCGAAGAAAGCAGTCTGGCTTTCAATTCACTTGGGCCTTTTTTTGATACTCAGTTACTTTCAAAGGGTTATTTAGACTTGATTAAGCTAACAAAACAAGAAATTGTTCTAAAGCATATGTGTGTGTGCAGACCTCAAGTATTCCTTGAGGGGCAGCCTACTGTCTTAAAACTAAGCAGCTCAAGAGTCTTGAGAGAGTAGCTATGATCTCAAATATTCAACAAATTTTAATAAAATTTGCTACAGTAGAAATTGAGGCTGCAATCTACAACTAATATTGAGGATGACAGACAACAATAAATTATGCAATCAAAATTTTATTAACAAAGATACTATTTTTAACATGGTCAAATATACTTGGCTAAGTCCAGATTTTAAAAAACAAAAGAATCTAGCCCAACGGTACAACCATACAGCTTTTATACAGAACATTCCATTGATCAACAGAAAATACATTTGAGCACAAAAATAAAAAATATTTAAAGAGAATCTCTAAGCAGCATTTTATTTTCTGCAAAACAGACATATATCTTGTACTGATTAAATATCTACAAGTGCTTTTCCTTTACAAAAATACATATATTCTTAATAGACTAAGTCATTAACAATGACCTGGTAATCTTTCACTTCAATTTGAATGATTTATAAGCTAAATCTTACAACCACAAAAAGGTTTTTATTTGTATTAAGATGTTACCACTTTTGACAAAAAAAGCTTAAAATATTTTATATTTCAAAGGAAAATTAGCAACATAACTGTACAATAGATTCTATGATGGTTTTATTTAATGTGAGGGCTGCTCGATTAAAAACTGGTGCTTTGCTGTTGCGCTGCCAGGTGCAGGAGCGCAGCGGAAGGCTGGCGCCCTCCCACAAGCTCTTGTCATGGGCCGCAGCTTCGTAAGGACACTTAGGCCCCCATCCCCATTCTAAAAAATACAGCAAAAGAAAACCGAACCCCCAAAATGTTAAGCTGATCCCATTACATTTCTAGTGTGTAGAACTTCTGCTCCAGTGGCCTGAGGTGAAGTCTAGGGATAGATAATCTGTTTACTAGCTCTACATTGCCCAGGAATATTTAATCTTCATTTGTTCTAGGTTAGTTTCTTACGCCACGAAGCTCTGAAAGATAGAAGCAAACTAGACCCAGTATTTTAACATCTCTGTTTCACTTGATTCTATATTTAAAGATAAAGGCATTTCAGATCAATGTCTCAGTATTGAATCCTAGAAAAAGGGGCATAATGGGTATACATATTTGAATGAGCATTTAAAATAAATTATATTTGTTTAATTTCATAACTTTCTGAAAAGAAAGTACTCAAGCATTTTAATTCTATTTGCAAATACAGTAAGGATAGTAAACACACTACTTGTGAAGACTACACAAGGAAGAGAATCATTTTAAATTATTGGGAAAATGCCTTTGCTTTGAGAAAAAGAAAACCATGAAAATCTTATAATGTATATTTAAGTACATTTTAATGAACTTTCAACCTGATGTTTTTCCACTGAAATACTACAGGTAGAACTAGGTATATCAAGTAAATCCAAAACCGGTTGGTTATTTTGTGCTTTCAAAGGGGTTTCTGAGCTCTTCTTTAATATTTTTCAGTTTTTCATAGACCAGATGTGGCATACATGTTATGTTCCTTATTGCAGGGATATATATCTATATCTTAAAAGTATTACTAACATTTTCATGTTTTTGTTTCTAGTCCCAAACATTAAAGTTATGGCAAACTCATTCATTTTTGTAATTCCTGTAACTAACATCTTGGTATAAAGCTTAGCCTGCTGGACGATTCCTTATGATAAACCAGAGTATGTAGCAGAGTGCATCCGAGAAGCTTACCCAGCTACCAGAAGGACTGCATCATGTGAGCCTTACCTCCAAGATGGTGACAGGGTAAGCTCCCAAGGAGAACGGTGGGAAGGCAATGCTTAACTTGATGTATACGCTCTTGATCTGGGACCCATTTTGTCAAAGTTTGGCTATATGGCTAAATTCTAATTACAAAGTAATCACTGAGAAATAGGCCAAAGAGTTACTTTTTAAGGAAAAAAAAAAAAGCCTTTATGAAAAATTTGCTTTTGAATACAAAAAAAAAAAAAAGCATTTACTTATGTAAATCCAATAGAATGTACTATTTTCTATACATGTAAGCATGGTCAGCATTTCTACCAAAGTCTGCCTTTAATAAAATTTCTAATGTTATTAAGAATCCAGGAACTAAATAAGCATAATTTTAGTTTATATGGGCTGCACGAAATGAATTAAAGAGCTTCTCAAATTAGAATTAAAATATCCATTTCAGTTTTCTTTTCAAAGGATCCATTTCTTCCACTTGCATCCAAGGGAAAGCCAATTGTGGTGTTTATCTCTTTCTCATCTTTGAGGATTTCCTAAGACCTATCAAGTGGTGCTGGGAAAACAAGGGACATATTTGAAAGGAATTGTGTTCTGATTATTGCAAGAAAAACCTCCATTTGATTGATCTCATCACAAAAATCAGCTTCAAATCTTTCTTTGGTGATATTTTAGCAGTTACTCAAGGTTATTGCCTAACTATATAAAATTAAATTGCAACCTAAAAGATTCCAACCTCCAAACTGTTAAAATTCTCTATCTTACCATGGTTATTAATGAACAGTAGAAGGTCTTTGGTGATCTCTATTTCTTATGAAAATCTTTCAAAAAGAGATTACTCAAACTTATGAGTGCCTAGTTAGATACAAAACCATTCATAAGAGACAGGAACAGATAACTCAAAATTTATGCAGTAAATCTAAACAGAAATGCACTTCAGCAATGAGGCACTTTCTCTTAAATATTTCAATAAAGCTAAACAGTTCACAATATTATATAACACACTTTTCCCTCTTATAGAGTTGCTTAAATTTAGATTAGAGTATATAAATGTAGTAGAGCAAACTCATTACATTTATAAAATGTGGCATATTTGTATGGGACATATTTCCAATGAATAAAGAGACTAAAGAAATACACTTTTAGGAAAGTAATTAAAAGACATTACCCAAGGTACCTGTACCCCAGACTGAATGACCTTATATTACCTCATCAATGAGCCTTTTAGTTTATTTTCTTATACTTCTTAACAGTGTTTTGGTTAATCTAGAGAAAGGGCCATATTCTGATTTTTCTATTAATGGGTCTGTTCACTCCAGCTAAAGTGGTATCTATGGACCACAGTCCTTTATATCTGAGGTTCCTTGACCCTCTGATGTCTCTGATATCTAAGGCAGAGAAAGCAGATTATAAAATCTTTTATGGAAGTAAAGTTCTTTTGAACAACAGATTAAAAAAAATTTAGTTTGATTCTCCAATTTTGCAGATTCAGATGATTATTTCTATAGGTTGTTTATATAAAGAGATTTATTAGCACCCTAAGTTTATAAAATGGACCACAAAAGTTGCCTGTATATTTTTTCTGCATCTGGTTTCTTGCAAATTCCATAATCTGGCTTAGGGGATAATTAGTGTATTGCTTGACATGAAAGTAGTCCCATACTTAGAAAATTATAGTTGAATATACCAAAAGAGGTTTGTTGAAGTCTATGGTTCTTAATAGTAACACTGTATTACTTGGGACCATCATAAAATGTGTACCTTTCCCTAACTTGTAACTGATGCCCTTCTTTATGTAAGGTTATCTTTCACATGTTTTGGCACATATTCCATTGCATTTCAATAAAAATGTTAGCGTGTTAACATTGAATAAAGGAATTTTATATAAAACTATTCTCAATCCCATAATTGCTTCCTATATATTTCCTTGGAAAATAGTGAAATTAAAGGAGTGGAGGCAGCAACAGGCCAAAATTAAAGAGATCAGGTATACAAAACTCATTTAAAGCTGTAAGTTTTGGCTGGGGACCCAAAAACACGCAGGTCTCATTTGTGGTTTTTAAAAATGCACTCTCACTTAATTTTGAGTTAATTAACTTCTACATGTAAAGCACTATTTTAATCACTGACCTAGATGTGACAGATTCATAATTTTAAAATTTCTTAGGGATGTCAGGGAATTGGGTTTCATAACACAGCAAAATAATTTCTGCATCTGGAGAGTAAATTGTTTTTGGTTGAATATAATGATCTGTTCTAACCATTTTTAAAGTGTTAACAAAAATCTGCCTTTTAAGTTCTACTTTTGAGTCCTTCCAGGCACAAACACAATCTAACAAAATAAAATTCAGAAAGCATTGCCATAACCTTTTTCACAGACATCAAAACAAAAACAGTAGAAGACTTTAATACTAACTTTCTAACTTGAAACAAAGACACATGGAAAAGGTAATTAGGAAGTTTCAGACTTTTATATGTTGTGAAATGCATCAAGATTTAGCTGTATTTTATGTTTTTTAGAGTTAAACAATGTTATTTCTAAGAAGCATTTTGATATTCAGAAGGCATTATCTGTGATACATTTTACTGGAAAATGTAGCACATCTACAATGTATACAGTATAAAAACTATGTGTGTACCACACAGATTGTGCTCGTGTCAGATTTCTAAAACAGAGTTTTCCTAACTTTCAAGATTTTTCCTAAGTTTCAGAGGTTAACTTGTTTATTTTGAAGCAAGTAATAAAACTTAATTTCCAAAGAAGTTTTCTGAAAACTGTAAATTTTAAAAGGTTTAAAATGAAATTCTTCATGTAATTTAAGGTAACAAGACTTTCTTTGACTTGCAGACTAATCTCAAAATGAATGGAAGACTTATTAACAAAACTGCAAAATCAAGGACATTATCACAGCTCTGACCTTAATGAATTTATGTATAAAACAATCCCGTTTCCCCCTGATTACTACAGGATCTAAAATGAAATATCCTCAAACCATTAGTTTTGGTTAGCATATTACCTACTACACTGCATTTATTCTATTTTATGCATATGGTTTGGAAATGTGACAGGTAACTAACAGTTTTAATTAATAATTGCCTTGAGACTTCTGAAATCCATAAAATGGCTAATGTTATCTTCTCTAAAAATCCTAATATTTAAAATCATCATAACCCTCTGCATGCCACAATGACACTCACCTAAGGCCAACTTAAAAAGAGAGACACTACTTGTTAAATGGGAGCCACAATATAAGGATGCATATACAAAAAGGGCTACACAGTGACGTTTCATGAAGCAGCACCTGCTTTCATAAGGCATTATGAAAGATTGACCTTACTGATGCATCCGTTTTGTTAGAGTAAATGTGACCAGCTGTTAATGTCTCGAATGGGTATGAATCGAACTTCAGGTCTCCACGGAGTCACACACATGTTCAACCTGGAGGGCTAATGTGCCCTCCTGTGCAACTGGTAGACTACACCGCTGGAGGACTTAAAATGTCTACAGCTATAATGTGCTCTAATGATAAGAATAATTGGAATTCTTCCCCAAAGACTTGAACACTCAAGAGTGAACTATTTTGCACACAAAAAGCTTACTGAGAACAGGACAGTGGCTCACAAACCACTCTTCTAAATACTTTCCCATACAAAATAACTTCAAGATACAATAATTATTTCTTGTACAGTACTCTATTTTAAACAAAAATTAATAAAATATTAAGTATGTGAAAACTGCAACACCACACAGATTGAGTCATAGTACTAGTGTAATCAAACATCAGAACAGTCTCAGGACAAGCAAGCAAGATATGCGGGAGGCTGAATCATGGCTGCACAACTAGCTGATTTCAACCCTGGCTTGTATGGTACATGGTGAGACAGCACAGATACCTTATGCGGGTGGTTCAGTAGCAGAATGGCACTTGGTTCACTCTTAATAGAAACAACATAAATGCAACTGACAACTTAGAGACAGACAATGGCCTTATTTGCATGCTGAAAATCTGGTTGTGTCCCTCTCGTCCACACACCGTTCACTGTGCGATCTGTTGATGAGTAAACAAAGTGCAGGATTCATCTCAGTGGGATCAAGGCCCCTTGGTCTAACCGAAATCAATTCTTGGTCGATACTGCAATACCATGGGGTAGGACTATAAAATAAAAACATGATGATGAATAAGACTGTGTTTATATGAAAACAATAAAGATTACATATGAGATATTAAGAATGCAGGGTTATAACTTACAATACTTACTTCCTGGTACTAGTGATTATGACAATTAAATAGAGATAGTTACCATTAAAATTAATTTTAAATTGCTATTTTTTCAGAATCAGTCAAGTTTTCCGTAATATGTAACAAAGTCAAGTTCAAAGTCTCGCTGATGTCACTAGCTGGGTGTGTGACTTACTACCGTAACACATAGGGAGGGCCAGGGCCAGGGGAGGCCTGAAGACTCTGACTCTGCATAAAGGCATTCATTCAGTCAGTCATGAAACTTGGGGGGAGAGGGGGCCGGACTCTATCCAGAGCTGCCGTTTGACAGCCATTGAGTCACAAGTTAACAGAGATGTCTTGCTGTGAATCTATGAAACTGGGGTAGTTTTCACAAATCACAATTTTAAGTTAAGCTTGACACCTTTTTCTTTTTAACATTTACACTCTAATGGTCCTTTAAAAACTGAAAAACAAGTAGATGCTACGTGGAACCTCCTTTCAACAGTCCATTGATACTGTTATGTTCACTGTGGACTCTTACATGATTGAAAGGTTCCGATGGTCCTTCATTGCTTGACTATTGCAAAGGGATCCTACAACAGCACACTGGAGAGGGAAGTGCTTCCTGCTGATGAGAAGCACAGGCCACCCCACCACTTCCTTAGCTGTTTTCCCCTATAGTTTGACTGTATCATTAAGAACCTAAACATCACAGAGTCAGAAAGGTCTGGAGAACCAATGGTTTTGCTTTTCTGAAGGCTGCAGATTAAATGAAATTTTGAGGAGCTCCTTTTACAAAACCAAGAAAGTGCAGAAACTGTCACTGACAGTTCCTCTTCATCTTGATGTAGGTGAATGTAAAAATCCAGGACAGGAAATTGTGAACTCTTTCATATAGAGGAGGGAGACGGACTGAGGTTCTATACTGATCATACATAGCTAGGCTGTATAGTGAGAAGACTTGTCGTTGGAGTCTTTTTCCATTCAGCTTAGGATGGGACTGGAGGGTGGAAATAATTTCTAGGTCTTGCCCTTCTCAGTTGAGGACTTGAGGTGATGCCACCACCAGTTCTGAGGGCTGGAGTAAAAGTCATGGTCTCTCAAGATTTCCATGGTCTAAATCTATTTTGGTTTAAATTTTGTTCCTTCTGAATCAGAGTATCTGGGAGTGGGGCACAGGAATCTGCATTTTATTAAAACTCCCTGGGTCGTCTTTTTTTTTTTTTTTAAAGATTTTATTTATTCATGAGAGATGCAGGGGGTGGGAGGGGGCAGAGACACAGGCAGAGGGAGAAGCAGGCTCCATGCAGGGAGCCCGATGTGGGACTCCATCCCCGGTCTCCAGGATCAGGCTCTGGGTTGAAGGTGGCGCTGAACCGCTGAACCACCTGGGCTGCCACTCCCTGGGTCTTCTGAAGCTCAGCTAGCTGTAGACTGCTGCCCAGACATCCTACCTAACTTTCCTACTTCCCATTCTCCCTGGCCCAAGTGGCAGCTTGCCCACTGTCACAACACTCTCCTAGCTTTACTTTCTAATTTGGATTCTGTTGAATCTGCATACTTTTGGCAAATAAGTCACTTGGTCTAGAATCCATAATATATAGAAGAATCCATCACCAATTCTACTGGGACGAAGGTAGAGAGTGAAGTAAAATGGCTTAGTTATCAGTGGTCAGGATTCTCTGGTTTTGGCTGAAAATGGTTTGGTTTTCTCCAAGTAACCATTTGTGTTTGTTCTATGACGACACATGAAGTTTACTGAAAAGTTTTACAATTCTGGGAACTGAAAGGTATACTTTTAAGTTCTATTTGTATTTCAATTTGCTTTCTGAAGTAAAATGGTGCTGCACGTACTATCATGAAATGTGGCACATCACTCTGCTAGAGTTCAGTGATTGCCCTCAACGGATCTACTTGATGTAGAGTTGCTAGTCCTCATTCTTATCATGTACTAAAATAAAAAAAGATACTTCTACAGTATATATCTCAAATGTGATAACTTTAGAAAATGGTTAACATTGATCTTCATTGATATACTGCTTTTCTTTAAAAATTTTTATTGTAAAAGTAACATGGTTTCACAATAGATTTTGAAAATATAGAAAGGCACCAGGAGCAAAATCATTCAAATAACCACCATCCAAAGAGAACTACCATAATTATTTTAGTATATATCCTTCTAGTCTTTTTGTCTATGTATGTATTTTTTCCAAGACTGTAATCATGCTACACGTATTTAGAAAATAATTTTGTCCATGTAAAATTTTAATTTTCATTAAAAAATTTCATGACTGGGATCCCTGGGTGGTGCAGTGGTTTAGCGCCTGCCTTTGGCCCAGGGCGCGATCCTGGAGACCCGGGATCGAATCCCACGTCGAGCTCCCTGCATGGAGCCTGCTTCTCCCTCTGCCTATGTCTCTGCCTCTCTCTCTCTCTCTCTGTGACTATCATGAATAAATAAATAAAATCTTTTAAAAAAAATTCCATGACTTATTTCTATACTATTTAAAAGGATGAATATAATGCTTTTATGGAGAATCATCCTAAGTTATCAATAAATCTTTTGTCATATGTTTTAGTTTATTCCTTTTGTTTTGTTTTTGGGATTTTAAATTAATCTTGACCCAGTGATCAGGGCTGATTCTTAGAAGTGGAACTGCTAGTTCAAACAGCATATACATTTTTAAAGCCTTTTCAATAAATGTCACCCTGGGCTTCAAGAAAGTTATTCTATCTTTACATTTCCAAAAGAACTATGAATATACTTCTTTAGTGGCCTCAGGAATAATGAATACTATCATTTCTTCCCCCCTAATATGGCAATTTAATAAGCATAAAATAGAATTTTATTTATTCTAAAGAAATTAACCATTTTTGTATGCTGATGAGTCAGTTTTGTTTCCCTCTTTCGTGACTCTTAGCATGTCTTTTGTTCATTTTTCTAAGGAAAGGTGAATTTTGTCTTACAGATTTGTATGAATTCTTTATTTCTGTCCTATATTGCAAATATTTCCTTAGTTGTGGTATTTTTGCCATGTACTTTTCAACATTAACAGTCAACTTGGTTTGTCTTTGTTTCCTTTTACATATACAATGAGAAAGGCCATCCCCATGTGGAGATTATTCAGTCTTATATTTCTTCCTATCAATTTGAATATTTACCACTTTAAGCCACGAAAATCTCCTATAATGTGAGGTATGGATTGAATCTCCATCACCACCACCAAAAGTTGCAGTAGAATTTATTGAAAACAAAACCTACTACCCTACCCCCAACATCTATATTCCAACTTCACTGATTACCCCTGCCACCACCCACCAACTCCTGTTTCTGGTCCAGCCTCACTGGCCTCCTTGCAACCCTCAAGCAACTAGACAGACCGCTCCTCTGGATCTTTCCACTGTATTCCCTTCGCCGAAGGCATCTATCCCAGATATACGCATGTCTACTTCTCTCACTTCCTTTTGATCTAGAATCACCACCTCAAATAAGTCTTCCCTTAGCTATCTTATCTAAAATATTCTATTTATCTACTTTTTCTTCTCACACTACAAATTTTGCTCATTTATTTTTCATCTGTTAACCATCATTACAGCATAAGTTCTATGAGGAAGAAGAATTTTGCTTATTTTTACTTCTGTCTCCCCAGGGCCTAAAAAAGTGACCAGTGCACAGTTAAGTGCTCAATCGGTATTTGCTAAGTGAATCTTTTCTTTCTTCCACTGACTTGAAATACTCTTTATAGATTCATATGTACTAGAGAGTCTGTTCCTGAGCTGTTCTTTTTATTCCTGTGTCTATGCTTTAAGTCAGTCCCTATTTTAACTACTTCAGCTTTAAGATACATTTTAGCATGGGGCAGTGTGCGTGTCAGCAACCCCCACCCCCCAACTTCCCTGCCTGATTACTGACAAATGAGACTGATCAGAAGTTCTGGTTTAAAAAAAAAAAATACTGGTTTATACTTCCTGGTGAACTTTAGAATGACTGATTCTGTTCAGTTCAGTAAGAATCTGCTAAAAGTGTGCTTGAAACCTATATCAAACTCCATAATCTAATTATGGGGAGAAGTGACATCTTTATAATATTTCACATACTATTTAAATTTCTTGTGTGTGAAGTGGTATTTTGGTTATTTATGAGGAAGCCTTTGATCTTAGGAAATATATGTTGAAATAATTAGTGGTCAACTGTCATGATACTTGCAATTTACTTTCAAACGGTTTCACAAAGAAACAACAGACAGAATTATAAAGAGATTAGTAAGATGAGAAGGGAAGAGAAGGGAAGAGAAGGAACAAAGGGGGAGAAAATGTAGCAGAATGTTAATTGGTAAAATTCTAAGTAAAAGTAAAGAATATTCCTTTGTACTATTTCAATTTACTTGTTTTTTGGAAAATTTTCACAAGAAGTTGGTAGGGAAAATTGGGACTTAATAATGAATTTTATCAAATGCCTTTTCAGTATCTACTAACAGTTTTGAAATGTCTCTGTGTGTGTATAGAATGTTTCTACTATATATATTATTTCTGTCCCCCCAATATTAAGCCATTCTTGTATTTCTGATAAAAATATTGTTTGGTCTTGGCTTATTCTTTTAGTATATGATTTTGGTATATTATTCATCATCTTTGTATACAAAATGAGTTTGAAACTTGTTTTCTAGTTGGGGGTTCTCTATCAGTTTATGTTACTCTTATGTTTCTAATCAGTTTATGTTACTGATTATGTTACTTTTGTAAAATAAGCTTGGAAGAATTCCACCTTTTTCAATAATTTAAAACAATTTAGAATGGGAAAATCTATTGCTTGAAAATCTGAGACAGCATTACCATAAAACAATTTATGTATCCTCTGAGAAAAATAATTTTTTGAGAAAATATTTCTTTAATATTTTCTTTCATGACTTAGTCATTTAAATTTTCTTTCTTCATGGATAAATTTAGTCCACTGGTAGTTTCCTAGAAAGTTTTTCATTTCATGGAGTCTAAAAACATTTTAAATTTAAAGATTAAATAGTATAAAGCTATGTACATAATGTTTTCTTGAAATAAAAAAGTGGTAGCTTTTTCCTTGAAAATTTCTAGCTGAATTTTGGCTAAAGGTACATTCTTATTAATTTTAAGTTCAACTCTGTGAAAAAACTATAATCCATTATGAAGTGTTGAAGAAAGAAAAGGGAATTTGTGAGGATTTTTAAAAATCTGGTCTTATTCCAGTTGTTCTCTAATACTTTAGATCAGAGTTTATGAACATCTTTATTTCTAAGGAAACAGACATCAGTGCCAAGAGTGAAAGCAAAAAACCATGTATGTATGAGTTATAGTTAAAGGCAGAAGCATCACTACAATTTATCATCCCAATTAAAATGTAGTCCACTACTGTTTCTGTATTCAAAGAGCGACCCAAGTAAAGGACAGGGTGGGGTCTAGTAAGCAGACTCAGGGTGCCACTGGGTTGTTGCTGTCACTGAGCTCACTCTAATCTGGTATTTTATCTTTCACTTGTGGGTGACTGATTTAAAACACACACACACACACACACACACACAAAAAAAAATTTATACAAAGAAGTGTTAAGTAGGGAGCAGATATCCAAAATGGAGATTTCTCAAGGGCTGAAACTAGTAATTATTAAAAATTTCTGACTCATAAATGGCCTTAACATTTATAATTCAGTGAAATGAAATAGGTAAATGCAAGAGAGCTCAAATAATGGGAAACTTTGGGGACATAAATTGAAAAATGAAGTTTTGTAGTTCAAATATTAGTTCTGCAAAGTTACATGACTTAAACTTGAGTTTGGAATGAAAGCAGTCACCATCTTGGCAGGCATCATGAGGGTAGTAATATGTACAGTCGTGAGTGCCTCTTACCTGATACAAAGGGCCATCCTGAGAGCAGACTTGCGAAGCTGAGCAGTTCAGACACCGAAACTGCGGAGGAGATGAACTCATCAGATAAGAGGCATCCACAACTGGATACATATTTAAAACTGATTAAACTATCTTAACGTCAAACATGAGTCAACATAATTTTAAGTAAACACTCTCCAAACTATGGTTGTTGATTTGTTGTTGTTGCTGTTTTTCAAAGATTTTATTAACTTGTGACTGGTAAAATGTAGCCTGAAAACAACTTTAGTATCTAAATATCAGTTTTGTTAACATTCTGTAAATATTAATCAAAATGGTGGCTAACCTTTCCATCTCCTCTTCAGATAATAATTCTTGGGAAAACTCTCATCTCTTCAATCAAGGAGAGGGGTACCCTCTTTCTTCCACCCTTTACTGTGATTAATCTCTCTGAACTCTCCCTTTCACTATCCATGAAAGTGATACTGTTTACGGACCTCAGAGCTCTGAAAGGGTTAAGCAGCTTGCCCCAAGCTGTAATGGGTCCATTTTCTGTTTTAGATTAAGTTTTTTATATTGCTCAGGTTAAATTTTCAGTTTCCACATCTATTTTAATAGCATGATAATGTGAACTCCTTGAGTCTGTATCTTATTCATATGTATTATCTTAATAACTAAGGCCCAGAAATGGCACATAGCAGCTTCTCAAAAATGTTTCATGAGTAAATCAATGAATGAACACATTTAAAAATATTGAGTAGATTCAGTTGTAAACCCACTAATTTTTGGCAGTTTAACTGTTCAGATTAAAGAAAATTATTCCCAAATTTTGATTTTTCAATGCTGGGCTAAATACTTATTAAATATGAACATTATTTTAATTGTAACATGATTATAAACAATGAAATATATACTTTAAAATTATGTATATATGAATTCAACATTATAGGTTTCTTCAAAATGGCAAAAAATACATAAAAAATAGGTGTAAATTAACCAGGATAAATCTAACATCCAAGAGCAAGTAGTTTTTTAAAAGGTATACCCTGAAAGAACATTAAAGGAAGCAATGATTAAAACAAATATAGCCTTTTTCAGTAAAATTTTAGAAAATTTCCATTTCCCCAAAAGACTAGCAATTTTTTCCAGAAGTGAGTCTTTGCCTTTCTGTACAGGGCTCATCACATGCTATAGGACATGCTCAGCACTGCTACCTTTAGCAACCTTCCCTTTTCTCTCTGAAGAGTCCCATGCTCTGGTCTAGCAGACTATGCAAGTCCTAAACAATGCCAAGTCCCAAAAAGCATTTAAGAGTGAAGAGTTAAGGTGAAAGAAGCTATTTCACGAAGTGATTATTATTTTTTCCTATTAATCTCTTTGGTATCAGTCAAGAAGGATGTTTGCTTTGCCCAAAATTACTTAATAATGCAGATTAAAGCAAAGTGAGACAAATGTGATACAGTAATTTCAGGTATGTCCCAGCAGGGGTTTGTTTAGAAGGGGTATCTGGGAAAGAGGGGTGGGCTGTACTGAGAGTTAGTACTTAACCTACCCCGAAAAAAGATGAGCAGAAAGAGCATGAGCTCATGATGAAAGCTTGGGCCAAATGGAATAATATTAACAGTAAGCTCCCAGAAATAAGAGGAAGTTAGAGAATTATAATAACAAGATATAATATATATAAGTTATTCATAAACTTACTAACATTTACTATGTCAGGTATTCTGCTAGGTTCTTTATTATATAATATTTCATTCTTATTAAAAAATTTCAAGACAAGTATTATTACACAAATGTTAAGGATAAAGTAAAAACTAGGAAGCAGAGGGGCACCTGGATGGCTCAATCAGTTATGCATCTGTCTTGTGCTCAGGTCACCATCCTAGGGTCCTGGGATCAGGCCCTGCTTCAGGTTCCCTGCTCAGTGGGAAGTCTGTCTTTCCCTTTCCCTCTGCCCATCCCCCTGCTTGTGCATGCTCTCTCTCAAACGAGTAAGTAAAAAATTAAACTCAAAAAACTAGGAAGCAGAACACAACTGGGGGGAAATAGCTATAACATATACAACCAAAGATTCATACCCAGAATACATAAAGAGCTCCTAGAAGTTAGTGAGAAAAAGACAAACATCACAATGGAAAAACAACAGCATGGCAACAGACAGGAAAATAAATTTCACAGAAGAAACAAAAAATTGATAATATGCAGGGTTGATGAGGATGTCAGAAAATGGGCACTCTCATGTTACTGGTAGAATTAGACACTGCTAAAATATTTTAAGAGGGTAATTTGTCAATGTCTATCAATATTTAAAACATGTTACTCTGCTGTAAATCCACATCTGGAATCTAGCCAATGAATATGCTTGCACATGTGCAAGCGGATGTATTTTATATTAGAATATAGCATTATTTATAATGTTAAACTTGAAAAAAATCTAAATTTCCACAAAGGAGTGTGTGAATCAAATTATGCTGCAGCTACATATCAAGTTTGTTTATTTACCATGACATACCATCAAATGAAAAAAAGGAAGTTGCACAACAGTACAAATCATTCTATTTATGTTTCAAAAATGTGATGAACACTGCGTGGATATAAACAGGATCATGTATTGTGATTAGTCTAGATAACTAAACACCTTCCATACTGAGATCTAATTCTGTAATTCTACACCCTCAACTAACAGATATGGAAGCCACAGGGTAAGCCAGTGGTCATGGATCACATTTCCTAAAATCCTATTACTCAAAAGATGGTCCAAAGATTAGATGCACTGGCATTCCCTGGGAGTATGTTAGAAATGCAGAATCTTAGGCCCCACCCCCAGACCTACTGAGTCAGAATCTGTATTTTACCAAGATCCCCAGGTGATTTCTACTGACATTAAAGTTTGAGAAGCACTGGTTTTAAGGTACATTTTCTCCCATTAATAAGCAAAGGATACAACATCTTTCTGAGTATAACATCTTCAGGTGGCAATATTGTTACAAACTGAAAAATCTCTAAGGGTTAGCTAAGTTTAACCAGAGGTTTGGTTCCTAAAGATAAAAACCTTTCAAAAATGCATCACAATGAAGACAAGAATCCAGAAATTGCAAGGACTACAGAAAACAGGCTGAGCCTGAAGTGGAACTGCCCCAGGATAAAGAAAAGTAGCACAGATGCTGTGTGGCACAGGAAGATGTGCTGCTGCTCTTGAGAAACAGGCAAAACTGACTTCTCCAAGATCCCTCCTAGGAATCTAAACATTGGACAAGGTAAGGTGATCAGAATATAGAGTGGCCTTGCCTAAGGCAGAAGACCCAGGCTACAGAGGCAGCATCCAGAGGAAGAGGGAAGAGAGCCACAGGGTTTACTCAGAGATGTAGGAGAGTGCAGACCATACAAGGAGGACACCCCTGCACACTGAAGAGATGAAAAAAAAAACTGCAAAGATTCCAATTCCAGGCAGATCAATCTAAAAATTTATTCCAATGCCAATCACAATCCCATTCTCAAGTTCATCTGAAAAAATAAACAGGTAAAACTAGCCAACACAATTTTAAAAAGAATAATGACCTTAGCCTTAACAAATATTAATATAGGGACACCTGGGTGGCTCAGCGGTTGAGCATCTGCCTTTGGTTCAGGGCATGATCCCAGATTCCAGGGATCGAGTCCCACATTGGGCTTCCTGCATGGAGCCTGCTTCTCCCCCTCTGACTATGTCTCTGCCTCTCTCTCTCTGTCTCTCATGAATAAATAAAATCTTAAAAAATATATTAATATATATCCTTTTTTAAAAAATTTTTATTTATTTATGATAGTCACAGAGAGAGAGGCAGAGACACAGGCAGAGGGAGAAGCAGGCTCCATGCACCGGGAGCCCGACGTGGGATTCGATCCCAGGACTCCAGGATCGCGCCCTGGGCCAAAGGCCACCCAGGGATCCCCTATTAATATATATCCTAAAGCAATCTAGAAGGCCTATCTGCCTTGTAAATTAGTTGAAATTTATTCAAACTTATCCCAAAGAAAATGGACAACTATGAGGGGCTTTAAATTGTGAGTGGTAAGTGACTGAATTTTTATAAAAACTATACATAATGAATAACATGATGTGGAGATAAGATCTGCCGAGAAGATCAAAACAAAATGTCCAGGAACATGCATGTACATATCTGTGTGTGTACACATGTGTATAGATACATATGCATAAATAATGGTGACAAAACACTGAGATAAAGTATGGCTTATTCAATAAATTATATTTTTGGCAAAAAAAATCTTAGAATAAGTTAGACTCTTAGTCTTGTTGTAGGCATGTGTATGTAAGTAAACAAATCAATCATAGGCAAATCAAAATGTTTAATGTAAAAAAAGTACTAGAAGCAAGTAAAAGAACCACAAGGTGGTCATGAGTTTAGGAAATCAACTGACCCCAGCCCAAGGCACAGCCAGGTAGCAATAGCAGTAAGGCAGAGTAATGTGAGCTTTTCAGACATCCTGGCATCCTGCCGGCAGTGGAGAGTAGAGGTGGGGAGGGATGGAATTGCAACAAGTACACTATTAGGGGCTTGATCAAGAAATGACTGTTGCTAATTTGTCCATTCACTCTAGGTATCAGAATTCACCAATTACTATTATAATAATTCATAATTAGTTGGAACATGAGCAAAAATTTTAAAATTTAACCAAAAACAAATGGGAAATGGAGATTTAAATAAACGGCATGATCTTTAAGATATATCTTGCATAGCTTTGATCTTATAAAAGAAATTTTTCATTTGGTTTATTCTGTGAACAAATATTTATTGCATATTTGTACTAGGTACTGCCCTAGGTACTAGAGACTCAGGAGTAAACAAATAATAATCCCTGTCCTCAGACTACATTTTAATTGGCGGACAAACAATAAACATAAATAAGTGGCATTGTATGCCAGGTGATATGAAAAAAAATACCACAGAAAACAATCAAACATGAAAACAGATTGGGAGAATGCCATATTGGGAGTGGGGGTTGTGTTATTAAGAAAAGCTGGCGGCCTCACTGAGAAGGTGACATAGAAGCAAAATTCTTTGAGGGAAGAGGGTGAAGAAAAGGATTCTGGTGGTGACTTAGGGAGGCAGGGGAAAGCCCAGTGTGTTAGAGGAAACAGAAGTGAGTGGGGCCAGAATGTGGTGAGCCAAAGAAGAGTAAAGAGTAAGATCACAGAAGTGTCTGGGGAAAATTATGGGGGTCTGTATCTATAGGTTCATGGAAGGACCATGGTTCTTATCTACATGATAGGAGATGTCACTGGGGAGTTCAAAGCAGAGAAGTAACATGTTCTAACTTGTTTCAGGAGGATTGCTTTGGCTGCTGTGCTGGGCAAAGACAACAGGGGAGCCCCAGGTAGAGGCAAGAGTGGAAGCATGGAGCCTAGGTAGGAGATTTTTATAGAAGTTCTGGAGAATGGTGACAGTAGTTGGGCCCAGAGTGGTAGAAGTGGAAATAGTAGGAGATAACTGGATTCTGATCATAGAATTCTGATACGAGAGGTCGTAGAATATGCTAAGAATAGATGAAAGAAAAAGAAACTAATCTGGACTGATTAGGGATTTTGGCCTTGGAAACTGGAAAACTGCAACTCTAAATCTTGGGACTACTGAGATTGTAAAGACTGAAGCTGGAAACGGTTTTGGAGGAGAACAAATAGAAAAACAGGTTTGTCATGCTGAAAAAATTAAATGGACTAATATATTACTTACCATTGTACTAAATATAAAATGTGATCATTTTTCTATTGATTTAGTTTTTACCTAATGAAAAATCGTAAGGTACTGAACCATTCTCCCAACCAACTTTTATTAAAATATGCCTTAAACAACAGGAATTTAAACTATCAGATATGTGTAACCAGAAACATAATGAAGTAAAGACTGACTTAACGGATAGTCAACAACAGTTTCTACAAATTAGCTCTTTCATGCTTTGACTTTAAAATAACTGGCAGTGTGGGTGACCTCTAAGAAGGGATTGTGTGAAGGACAAGCGAGTGCTAGCAGAGGTCTTGCAATAGATGACTTTTTGCATCTCTTCAACAAACAAACTAGGTTTCTTACAGCAAACTTAGTCCTAGCACTTGAAAATCATTAACACATATTAAAATGCCCAATGACTTATCAAAGAAAGCTAAAAGAATATCATTATGATATTATATGTAATATCACAGTATCAAGGCCCCAAGTGGGCTGAATAAGGGAGAACGGACTACCTCTGTACTCTGATCTGCACCTGGTACCTGAAACATTTTGGTTGAAGGATTCAGTGAGGGTAATGTAGAACCATTTCAAAAAACTATAAATAACGTCCTAAAAAGGCAGATAGTAGTGTACCAAATACAAAGATAATTAGATTTGTTTTTTTTTAAAATGAGGCTTAGAGAGATCTAATATGTTCTTCCATGGCACACGACTAGGAGGTAACTGGTACTACAACATAATTTTTTCTTCCTGGTCATGAGGATTCAGCCTCATAAGGAAGGCTTTATGCAAGTGGGACTCAAGAAAAAAAAAAAAAATCTGACTTTAGAAGTTAGGTGCTTCATTTGCTGTTATATCAAGACATTTCTGAAAAACATAGCTAATTTTCCTGTCCATTGAATACAACACAATAAAAATGTTTTGAGGTTTTATTCCATTCCACAGATGTTCACATTCCATAGAAATATGTTTTTGAAGCACTGTAACATGGCAACTGTCATTGTATTCAGATTCTGTATTACCTGTCTTTGAGATTACATTTCTTAATTTTGTCTTTATAGTTAATTTATATTTTCATAAGAAAATGTAGTAAGACCTAGCTTATTAGAGAGATTAAAATACACATAGTTTAGAAGTATGACATATTGTACCATAAACACCATAGAATCTTAATGTCCAACAGGACCTTGGAAGTCATCTAGTACAACCTTCTAGTCAATCTCAATGTGTATTCATGTAATCAGATTATAAAGAGAATTTCTGGTAGCATTACTACTACATTCCTCACTCAGCTTTATAAACCCTAGTCCCTCAGATTTCCTTACTATCAATGTTATACATAACTCTGAAAAGATATGCTTGAACCTTCTCATTAACCCTAAGCAGACATATGGTACAAAATACCATATGGGTTTTTTTTTTTTTTATTTTCTCAGGTTTTCTCCTTTTACATCATTTCTCCCAAATTATCTAGGGCCTAAGCCACAATCTAATTCTGATGTCAGAAAACCACTGCAAACTCACTTACCCTTTGGTCCAATTTTACACTTTCATATAAAGGAGGTACCTGAAAAAAAAATTTACCTACATTCTACCCTATCTGTCCCCTCTGCCATAATCAAAAAGTAGTATCAACCATTAAATGTACTAATCAGGGCAAAACTTAAGTCTCCCCACTTGACTCCATGTAGTTAGAAGTTCCCATATTTTATAGGGGTTTAAAAAAAATGTAAGTGCCATCTTCTCTGTCTTGAGGTTAGTAGAGTTCTGAACATATTTAGATGGGTTTTTAACTCACCTTAAATATAACAAAACCACATTTAACTCAGATCTTGGTCTTGTACTTGGGACCAATTATCATGGAATAGCTGGGATAAACAGTAAAAGGAATCAGTTTCTTCTCTTTCCCAAGCTAGTTTTGTTTGTTTGTTTCTAAGAAATACTGTTAAATATGAGTAACAAAATGGCACATAACTATACACGTAGATAAATATAAAAGCAAATTACGTTTTCGCCTCTTAGTCGCCATCTTGTCATGTAGATGAATTCCATAGTGTGATCCTTCCCCATAATTTCACCATTGCACAGCACATCCAACTTTAAAAAGAATAGTTACAGATCCATTAACATAATTTTTAATTTTTTAGCTTCTTATACTTTTCCCCCAAATTTCAAAAAAGATTCAAATAGGTATAACAAAATAGAAGTATTAACCATTATTCAAAAAGAACACTGAATATTTTTATTTAAAGCACTTGATCCATCTCATAACTATTAACAATTCAGATATAAGTAACATAAAGCAGTGCTGGTCTTGTCCCACATACCGGTCACTCAAGTCTATACATATAATTTTAGAACGCAGGGTAAGCTTTCTCACTCCATGTCTCTGCAACCTTAAAGGTTTAGACATATTTCTGTGATTGTCTCTTACAGAATGAGAAGGAACTGTGAGATCTCACAGCACCTTTGGCTTATGAATTCACTTCTCAGAATGCTTTCACCTTCTCAAGATTAGAGGACTTGCTTTCCTCTTGTTATTTTGTATTCAAAGAAGATAAATGAATGAATGTGAATAGAAAATTTATGGGGACTTCAAGGCATTTGAGAATTTCTGGTAACTGCCTGCAGCTAAGTTGATAGAACAATTAGGACCATGCCACAGGCCTGTATCTTCTAGGGCTTTCTGGCCTGTTTTGCTCAGTTGGTAATTTGTATAATACTTACAAGACCCTCTTCTCACCTTTCATCAAACTTCAAAAAAGGCTGTGCTTTCTAAAGCTCACTTTTGCTTTAAAGTTGCAGGAACCAAACAACCCTTCAAAATACGTAATTAAGAAGGCCCCAGGAACTGTGATTTATCAATTCAATGAAACATAGTTAAATGTTTATCATAGGTCCCTATAAATAAAACATTTCAATTCTCTAGCTATTAAAGGCAAACTATGATAGAGTTTAAAGTGTGAGAAGGGGAAAAAGAATGGGTTTTAAATAATTCTGTGTCTGGTTAGACAGAGACTAGAGAGTTTTGAACTTTAAGTCTAAAATGAGTAGTGTTCAAATTGCATTAGACGAATTTTTAGCGAAATTAAACTGATGCTTTTTGATGACTTATCTTGACTTCCATGGACCTCAAAATGTTTTTTTTAGACATTTTTAAAAGGACAAAGTAGATAATTTTATTTTTTTATCTTGCATGCAAAATAAATTCATAAGCAAAGAGATTTAGGATGCAACACCTAATTAGGTATAGTGCTTCTGCTGTCATTTTAAAAAACTATCTTGCCCAATTAGCAAGGCTGTTGTAAAAGTTTCAGCTGTTAGGTATTTCATTAAAATATCACCTTATGCGTTAGACAGCAAAATAAGGGGAGGACCAGTGAATTTTCCTAAAAATCATAGGAAAAGTCCTATCCCTGTTGTTTTCTATGGAGAGATATAATATGTGCCAGCAGTGAGACTGTATAAGAGAAAAGATCCTCGCAGCTCTAACAAGTTCCTGGAAACTAGAAAATAACTCAATGGGTCACACTTAAAAGTAAGGAAATAAAACTGCATGTGGTATTTTTAAGAAGAGAATTAAGTACAAAAACCAAATAATAAAAACAATTTCATTTTCTATTTTCACTGTTACCTAAGTTGTTATCTTTTATTTTATCAAGTCCATATGGTTTTGATTAACTTCTATAATTTTTTTCTCAAGGTAAAAGTTGATGTCTCTGGAAATGTTTTGATATTTGTAGGAACAAACCACAGTAAGAATTTTTAATTCATAGGTTAATTAATTGTCTGAGAGAAGTTTTTAAATAAATTTAGGATCAGAGGCTTCCTCAAAATACAGACTTAATATTTGTCAATGCCTGTGTTCAAATCCTATTTTATTTCTCCTATGACAAACTGCTCATATTAAGATTAATGTACATAATGAAGAACTAATGTTGCCTTTGATATCTTGGTTTATACAGGAAATTAGTCTTGGTTTTTTCGTTGCTTCAGAAGCTACTATCAAAACCCAAAGGGGAAGAAGAGAAATTAATATAAGTTGTTAAGACTGCCATTTGAGCAGGTGAGAAATAGTAGACAAATCTCCTCTTTACGTTGTATCTATACTCCTAGGATCACTAAACATTGAACACCTTACAAGCTGTGCTGTGATCAACATGAGGGCAATTTCTCTCTCCTGTAAGGAAACTGGTAAATTGCATTTATGCGGATGCCATTATGTTGGTTTTACCTACTGCTAAACGGTATCATTTTTGCATAGCACAGAATTAAAGGAACATTATTTACAAAATCCTTTTACATAAAAAGACAATGTTTTACATTCTGAAAAAGAAGTCTATAAGGACCTAGTAAAAATGGATCTCAAAGGTCTTGCTAAAAAACAAAAACAAAAACAATAAGGCTAAAAGCATGTTGGCAGTAAAAAAAAAGTAAAAAAATCCAGTTAGCTGTGGTATTTATTTGGGGAACACATAACTTATTTAAGTATCTCTTCTAATTGTAAACCACTAAATGCTTTTAGTATCGTGTTTTAGTCAGATGTTAAATTAAAAATTACAGATTATATACAGAGAATACTATATTCTCAAAATTAAATGTTTAACATGAAAATAACCTAAGTTTCCACAAAAATTTAATGTATTCTCAGTTAATATTTACTTCTTTTGTTAGAATTTTACTTCAGATCAGAATTATCAAAATGATCAAGATGAGATTATTAACTTACCTCATAAGAACTTGGAAGTTTTAGTTTTAAACTTAAAAATTTTTTAATAGTTCCCACAGTTACACGCGTAGAACATCGAATGAATTTCTTCATTAAACCCTAAAGGAAATACAGATTACTAATTAAAACATTCTACCTTATTTTAGTGAAACCAGAGGTGTTACTTCCACTATTATTTTAAGTATTTTCAAAATATATTATAAAAACATTTCAAATTATAGTTCTTTAGTACTAGTGAGTAAAAACTGTTCCCAATTCTTGGATACTTACATGATGTTCTTGAAGAATGTACTATCATGTATACTAGGAAAATCCTAGGAAATCGATAATCTTCATACCTTTAGACAATTTGGTTAACAACACATTATGAGTTTAATAAAAAATTAAGGTCACAAAAAGCATATAAAATATATAATATTACTTCTAAAAGTATTAGGAATATTTTTTTTTAATTTATTTATGATAGTCACACAGAGAGAGAGAGAGAGGCAGAGACACAGGCAGAGGGAGAAGCAGGCTCCATGCACCGGGAGTCTGATGTGGGATTTGATCCCGGGTCTCCAGGATCGCGCCCTGGGCCAAAGGCAGGCGCCAAACCACTGCGCCACCCAGGGATCCCTATTAGGAATATTTTTTAAAAAGTCTCAGAACTTGAAAATATCTTTTAAAAGAGCAGTGATTTCAAATGGGGCTCTAAGGACCTCCAGGGTTCAACAGAGGCCAGTTAGGCTACAAGATCCCCTACAAATAATAGTCAGGTGTAATGGACTCTGGTTGGGGAGAAACATGCCCCAGTCAGTATCTGATGTGCTGTGGCAGTATTTTACTGGAAGAACAATGTTCTGTGTGCCTTGATTTTTCTCATTTTATTAGCAATACTAATTACTAATTTACTCTTTAAGCATGAATATCACTAAAATATAAAAACCAATCCAAATGAATGCTCAAACTGAAAATTAGTCAGAATGAGGTTTGTAGACATGATAAACATGAACTAATTTCTGAAACAAAATTACATTTCCAAACCTTAAAAGTTATCAATAGTAAAACAAAAACCAGTAATTCAATCTTTTGAAGATATAAAGTATTACTTCTACTTCTAATGTACATGATATTAGGTCAGAAAGCAGAATTGTTCTTAAATTAACCAAGGCAAAAGTAGAGCCATTTGTAGGGAACCTGGGTGGCTTAGTCAGTTAGTGTTGGACTCTTGATTTTGGATCAGGTCATGATCTCAGGGTTATAAAATCAAGCTCCACCTTGGGCTCCATGCTGGGTGGAGTCTGCTTAAGAGTCTCCCTCTCCATCCCTCCCCACAAACACACGCATGCTCTCTCTCAAAAAAAAAAAAAAAAAAAAAAAAGAAAGAAAGAAAAAAAATAGAGCTATCCAGCTAGTATCTATTAGTAAATGTGTTCCCGGGAAAATACATTTCCTAGCCAAGACCAGCAGAAACAAATTTACAAATGATAGTTGGTCACTATTCAGATGATAAAGTATCCATTGAAAGAAGTCAGAAGTTACATCTAAAGCCAAACATACTCTAGCCATTTCAAATGGGAAGCCTGATATTCTAGACAGCATGGAAACAAAGGGATAAATACGAACACAGATCTTCCCTGTTGTCTATTTTCATCATTTCAACTACCCCAAGGTTTCTTGTCTATTTTCTTGTTCCAAACAGTTTATAGAGAATTCTTAGCACATTTTCTATATTTAAGTTAGAGTATAATGTGGAGTACTGGAAGACCCTTTAAATGTATCCCCCTCTGCAAAGAAATCCCAGGTGTTACAAGAATCTATAGAAATGACCATGGCATCACTACCCATAACTTTTCAGAAATTGTTAATAAGGATAGAAGTGTCAGTAGAGTTAAGTGTCATAAGTTAAGTTATGGGCATCACTACCCGTAACTTTTCAGAAATTGTTAATAAGGACAGAAGTGTCAGTAGAGTTAAGTTTAAGATTTTAAAACTAGGCAAAATCTGTTTCTGGAATTTATGATTTAATAAAGTTTGACATGAATCTCTAATGAAATTCTGGCCTGAATTACTTGATTTGTAAGTACTCAGAAAAATGACAATATAACAATTATGCATTTTCTTTCTATAGAAACAGTTTACAATTATACCAAAGAAACCTTGCTATTTCCTAGCTAGATATATCCTGGAATTGCTATACAGATCTCTGAAAAGTAATCAACACGTTTTAAGAGAGGCAATGACAATTAAGAGTGCTCAGCAGAGATGACAAGGATGGTGGGGAGAAACTTTGATGACCAGAAGAGCAGCGCTTCTTTCCTGCCATTTCATTTCATAACACACACACAGAATATAGAAACATTTGTACTATACACAGGGTGTTAAGGGGAAACTGCTGCCTGGGACAATGGCTACACAGCCCAGGCCCTGCCAGCTCCTCTGGTGGGATTAACATTTCAGGCTACCCCGTATATCTGAAGAAATATTATATGGAATAAAGACTTATTTTGTGTTACCAGAAGGTTACCTTTCCTTTCATGGCACAATGCCCTCTCAGGCCAGGAGAGGAAGAGTTCAAAAAAGGCTCCTTTCTGGAGGCATTTTCACGCTTTATTCCTTTTTTAATTTTTTTGAAAAAAGATTTTATTTATTCATGAGAGAGAGAGAGGCAGAGACACGGGGAGAGGGAGAAGCAGGCTCCATGCAGGGAGCACGATGTGAGACCTGATCCCAGGACTCCGGGATCACACCCTGAGCCAAAGGCAGACGCTCAACCACTGAGGCACCCAGGCATCTATCCCTTTCTTTTAGAAGAGTTAAGAGACTATATCTGAAATCAGCTAGCGGTCATTATCGTTGGTTACACAGTCTTCTACTTGTAGGATACAATTCAACTAACTTTAGTTCTTATGATAATGGTTATTTGAGGTTTTTATTTTTTTTTAAAGATTTTATTTATTTGAGAGAGAGAGAGGGAGAGAGAGAATAAGCATACACTATGTGGCCTTTGTGTCTGGCTTTTCACTTGTCATGTTTTCAAGGTTTATTCATGTTGTAGCATGTATTAGTATTTGATTCTAGCTTATAGTTTATATAACCCCTTATCAGATAGATCATTTGCAAATACCTTCTCTTATTCAGTAGGTTGCCTTTTTGTTTGCTGGTAGCTTCCTTTGCTGTGCCAAAGCTTTTAATTTTGGTGTAGCCCCAATAATTTATTTTTGCTTTTTGTTTCCCTTGTTCAAGGAGACATATCCATAAATATGTTGCAAGGGGGGTATCCAAGAGATTACTGCCTATTTTTTCTTTTAAAGGAATTTTATGGTTTCAGATCTCACATTTAAGTCTTTAAACCATTTTGAGTTTATTTTTGTGTATGATGTAATAAATTGGTCCAGTTTCTTTCTTTTGCATGTAGCTGTACAGTTTTCTCAGCACCACTTATTGAAAAGACTGTCTTGTCCTGATTGTATATTCTTGCCTCTTTGTTATAGGTTAATTGATCATATAATTAAGGGTTTATTTCTGGACTTCCCACTCTATTCCACTGATCTACATGTCCGTTTTTGTGCCAGTATCTTACTGTTTTGATTACTATAGCTTTATAGTAGATCCTGAAATCAGGGATTGTGGTGCTTCCGCTTTGTTATTCTCAAAATTGCTTTGAATATTCAAATCTTTTGTGGTTTCATACAAAATTTAGGATTATTTGTTCCAGTTTTATGAAAAATGTTATTTGTATTTTGATAGGAATTGCATTTAATCTGCAGACTGCTTTGAGAAGTATGGACATTTTAGCAATATTAATTCCTCCAATCCATGAGCATATCTTGTGTCATCTTCAATTTCTTCCATAATTTCTTCTCATTTTCAGAGTACAGGTCTTCCCCCTCTTTACACATACTAGAAGATATATTATTTTTGGTGTAATTATAAATGAAATTGTATGCCTAATTTCTCTACTACTTTGTTATTAGTGTATAGAAATCTAACAGATTTCCTTAATTTTATATCCTGCAACTTTACTGACTTCATGTATCAGTTGTTTTTTGGTAGTTGTTAGGGTATTCAAAATGTGGTATCATATCATCTGCAAATAATGAGATTAACTACTTTTTACCAAGTTAGATGATTTTTCTTTTTGTTTGAGAATTTCTTTTTATCTGCTTAGCTAAGACTTCCAGTAGTATGTTGAATAAAAGCAGCAAGAATGGACATTTTTGTCTTGTTCCTGTTCTCAAAGGAAAAGCTGTTTTTCACCATTGAGTATGTTAGCTGTGGGTCTTTCATATATGGCCCTTTTTATTTTGAAGTATGTTCCCTCTAAACCTACTTTGTTTAGAGTTTTTATCATGAACAGATGTTGTATTTTATCAAATGTTTTTTCTAAATCTTTTGAGAAAATTGCATGGTTTTTGTCCTTCCTCTTGTTAATGTGATGTAACATACTGATTTGCCAATACTGACTCACCCTTTCATCCCTGGAATAAATTCCACTTGATTGGGGTAAATGATTCTTTTACCTTGTATATAATTCTTGTATCTTTGAATTGAGCTTGCTAATATTTTATTGAGGAATTTTGCATCTTTGTTCATCAGGGTTGTTTGCCTATAGTTTTTTTTTTTTTTTTGTAGTGTCTTTCTGGTTTCAGTAATGCTGGCCTTGTAGAATGAATTTTGAAGATTTCCTTCTGCTTCTGTCTTTTCTAATAGTTGAAAAGAATAGGTGTTAACTCTTCTTTAAATGTTTTGTAGAATTCACCTCTGAAGCAATGAGATCCTAGACTTTTGTTTGTTGGGAGTTTTTGATTACTGATTTAATTTTGTTACTAGAAACCAGTCTGTTCAAATTTTCTATTTTTTCCTGATTCAGTTTTGGAAGATTGTATGCTTCTAGAAATGTATTCATTTCTTCTAGTCTACCCCAATTTCTCTTCTTTCATTTCTGGTATTATTTGAGTCTTTTTTTTCTTTTTGAATTTAGCTAAAGGTTTATCAATTTTGCTGATCTTAAAAAAAAAAGAACTGGATCTTTTTTTTTTTTTTAAAGATTTTATTTATTCATGAGACACACACACACACACACACACACACACACACACAGAGGGGTACGGGGG